TCTTGACAAAATTCAAAGAAGGATCTGTAATGTAATCGATCCTGAGCCAACGACGTGATGTAGCCTCCGTCTGTCTTTTCTATAAATATTTTAATGGTAGTTGCATTAATGAGCGCGCCTTATTGATATCTCGACCGTATGAATTTAAGTGTGTTACTAGATTGGTAGCTAGATCTCACCGTTTTACTGGTGAAATAGATCGATGTAATCGTAACTTCTATTCAAATGGTTGCTTTTCTCGTCTGTGGAACTGTCTTCCGGTTTCTTGCTTCCCTGTCCCCTAGAATCTTCAAAGATATTAATGCGGCATCAGTCGCCATCTTATGTCTTCTCGATACATGTTCTTTTATTGTCCTTTCTCTTCACTAAATGCTTCTCGTTCTCTTTCATTCTCCGTAACCTCTTGTGTCCTGAAGGCATTATCACTTTGCTTAGTTTGAAGTATGAAAAAAATGACTTTATATAAGATATACGGATGACACCGAATTGATGACAGACTCGGGAAGAAAACAGAAAGAACTCTAAGACAAGGAAATAAAGGAACGCTAGACGAGAGCGTTGTTAACTGTAAAATGACTAAAGAGACCGCCTAAGGTGTTAGCTATGTATTGGAGATGATAAAATACAGTAGGTACAGAAATTTAACTGGCTATAGCGAAAGATGCCGCCAAGAAACTGAGCAGAGTATCATGATATGGGAAAATATAACTAGAAATAAAGAAAAGAGTGCTGAACTGCTAATATATAATTTCCTATAAGCCGGTGAATGCTAGATAATCTCTTTCATAGAGAAGAAAATGTTCACAACAACAGAGTTCTTGTTTACAGATGATTGCCGTGGACAAAACATGCGAACAACGAAGAAGTTTTAAAGAAAGTATGCTTACAAGCAGAAATGGTTTCCTTAAACTTCTGGGGCATACATTAAGGAAAAATGCCAGACACTCACTGAAGACAAGAGTAATCGAGAGAAACAATGATTAACCTACCTAACGAGTTTGTGTGAATGGATGTCAGGACAAGTTCAAAGAATGATGGTAAAGCGTCGAACGTTTCTTCTTCTTCTTCTTCTTCTTCTTCTTTTAACATCTTTCTTTTTCCTCTTCTTCTTTTCATTATCTTCCTTCTTTTTCTTCTCATCATCCTCTTTCTCATTTTCTCATCCTCCTCTTTCTTTTTCTTCCCGTCATCCTTCTTCTTATCACTCTTCTTCTTCTTCTTCTTCTTCTTCTATGTGGTATGTCACTATCCTCTATTACTATTCAGATCTGCATTTCTACTCTACATTCTATTACTATACGGAGCGCTATTCTCTACTCTATTCACTATACTATCTCTCCATTCGGATCACTATACGGATTACTTTTCGAGCGAGGATTATCGAGCAAGTACTTTTAGTGCGAGTTTTATTCGAAAATAGATTTGTTTTTTACTTCCCGGTAATAACAGAACAACGAAAGACTAGATGTAATCCGAAATATGTTTTTAGAAATGTGTTATTGTTAATTGTAAGAAATTCTTTTGGAGCGTGCGGTCGCAACGCTAAGGTTGAATTTTTAAATTTTAAGATTGTGCGTTTTTGTACTAATATGGTACAACAAATCTATTTCCATACCTGATGATGTCTGTATGCACAGATGAAAGCTTGTAAAAAAATAAAAAAGAGACCTTATGCAACTGGAATTTATAAACAGGGATCATAACATTCATCTACAGGTTCGGGGGTTAATGTACTTTATTAAATTTGTTTGTATTCTCGCTATTTATATCATTAACTTCTATATCTGTTTTTTGTATGAATGATTCCTGTAATGTAAATTGAACTGCACCACATACTTGATATATATATATATATATATATATATATATATATATATATATATATATATATATATATATATAATGATACAATATGGTAATCCGTATGGAATTTTCAGGAGGATACAGATCCACAGAGAACTCTATGTCAAAAGGCAGTACAAAATTATTATTAATTAAAGAATATCAAACGCTTAAAGCCCCTTAGGTAGTAATTTTTATTTCATGAGAGCTTTAAAAAGCAGCTCTCAATCTTTAAGACCTACAAACAAATTTCATATGAATTGTAAAAAAATATTCCGGTTTAAAAACAAGAAATATTGATATTTCTCCCCACACTTTCTAAAAAAGAAAGAACTATCTCTTGTTTTTAACCCGGAATATTTTTCCATTTCATTTGTGATTTGTTTGGAGCTGTTGAAGATTTATAGCTGCTGTTTTAGAGCTCTCATGAAATAAAAATTATTACCTATCGGATTTTATATATATATATATATATATATATATATATATATATATATATATATATATATATATATATATATATATATGAATGTACTTAGCATGTACTGTTATGAATACACTGCTGCCTCGCCCCTACCCAAGGGCAACTTATTTCGTTGAAACGTTGTGTCACCGATCACCACCTGGGCACTGTCGACGCATCATAGCTATGCTGCGTGTTTTGTCTAGCGATCTCAGTATATTTTGCAACATATTTCCCTTCTATCTTAATACTTAATATCTCCCATATCCCGATGAAAAGCGCGAACACAACTGCAAATTTTATATATAAGTTTGAATCTGTACGCACATACATCCGTATGTCTACCAATACGCACTCAAACATTCCTGGACTTGTACTTATATTTTACACATACGCGCACATAACTAAAACCACCAACACAAATATGCTTCTGTCCACCCAAGAAGTTGGCGATCATGGCTCTCCACGAATTCCTATTTCTTGTAGTACTAAGTAATTTTTTACCACTTTCTATCAGTCCGTGTTAATGTTCTGTCATTTATTTACACGCGCACGTAAGTCGCCGTTTCCCTTTGCTTCTCTTGTTTTTAAATTCTCCTGTCATTGCCAAATTCTCCAAGACTTCTTTCTTTATTATGTGTCCAAGGAATTTCATTCGTCTCTTTCTGATCTTAATCAAAAGTGATATTTTCTTATTTTTAAACACACACACACACGCGCACGCACATGCACACACACACACATACACGGTGTATCCGAAAAATTTTGAATTTTCTTTTGAATAAACCATTTCGGTAAAGCAAACAAGCAAACAAACAAAGAAAAAGCTTTTTCTTTTCCTCAAAAAATAGAAAGCAGAATCCTAGAAATTTAAAAACTGAAAATTTCTTTAAAATTTTTAAAGGTAAATTTCCTTAAAATAATTTTCAATATTTTTATCATATTGAGCTAAGTGTTTCAGAAGCGGATGCTGGTGGCAAAACAGCAGAGGCAGAGCCGTCTCAGTAATTGACCATAATTTTCTTTGCCTTTTTGGAAATAACAACTACTCTGCAGTTTGGCAGAATGGCGTCTGACATGCAAGAGCTTACGGACCAGAGGTATATCATTGTTTCCGTCCATGTGGAAAGTTTACGTCCACTGAAATTGATCAACGCTCGATAGGCGTTTACGGAGACCAAAATGTGGATGTAAGCACAGTTAGGTGATGGATAAGGCGTTTTAAGAGTGGCAACGTCATCGCGTGAGACACCAGATTCCGATCGACTCAGTACAGCTATTAACTCACGAAATGGATACCACCTCATTGGATGTTGTTTTATCGAACGGTGTTATTTTGCTTCGTGTATCTGTTGCAATTTACGTAGAAACAAATATTTTCGGAATTACCCTCGCTTGTGTGTGTATGTGTGTGTGTGTGTGTGTGTGTGTGTGTGTGTGTGTGTGTGGTATTTGTAAGGAAGTGAAGTGAATTTTGATTTCGAAAATAAATAAAAATTAAAATAATAGACAGGAATTACAGGTCGAAGGAAGCATTTGCATGTCTATGACAATATGGAACATAAGGGTCGGTATGTCTATTATTCTTGTTATACTTGGAACACATTGGAAGTATTTGCAACAACAAAAAAAGAACAAACAAGAATCGAAACCATTCAGACGACAGCATTACAAGTATCGATCAGAAAAGTGAGAGGAAGGGATGAATATTTGAGAGGACTTGTTTCCATTGAAAGATAACAGAGCAAGAAAATGAAGAAATTGTCGTTGTCGTAATAGAAGCGGCAGTAGGACAAAAAGCGTAAGCTAGCTAGCCTTCTTTGATATCATATATTCTTCAGTTTTGATATACATTAACTGTAGATTCAACGCAGTGGTTGATTATCAGTCCTTAACTCACCAAAGAACCGATACATTCCCCTGAAATCATGGCGAATGACAGATAATATGGAAAAGGAATCGGTGGAGAACCATTATTCTCTATATACCGAAGCGACAGGTCATAAAAAAGTAACGTTGGCTTTCAAGGTGAATCAAGTAATAGAAGTCTTATTTGTCCAGGAGTAACAATATTCCAGCGTTTTTCGATAATACTGTTGTATCACTAGTTTCTAATCTTCCATGGATTCCCAGGGCTTCTACTAAGATAGATAGATAGATAGATAGATAGATAGATAGATAGATAATATTTATTTAAATACATAACCTGGTTTCTATGCGGGAATCTGAGAAAGGAGTGTTGGACACTTGAACAGACTTGTCACTATGTTTCCAGATAGAATGGCAAGTGAACTGAATGATTGCAAAAAGGATATAACGATGGCAACGAACATCCAATGTTGTAACCAGCTTTAGTCTTGTGCCAGACTTATCAAAATATATTAATTAGTTTCAGCAAACCAACGAGTGAAGCATGAACTAAATTATAAGGTTTCCGAGTATGCATGGTGACACTGTAGCCCTATACATGACAGGGGTGTCTACAAGGTCAGCAACAACAAGTATGGTGATGCTGTAGTCATATAACCCACATGGGAGTCTACAAATTATTATCTTTAATTTTTACAATTTTTTATTTAATAATTTCGCTTTAGTATTTTTCATTTTTTTTTTTCACTGTCCCAAAATTTTTTTATCATTTTTAATTTTTTTACGTTTTTCAATATTTTAATTTTTCTTTTCTTTTTCTGTATGAATGTTCTTTTTCCTTTTCATGAATTTTTTTCACTTTATAATTGGTCTTCTTTGTTAATATTTTCATTTATCTGTTTTTAATTTCTCAAATATTTTTTTTTTAATTTTAAATGCTTTTTTTGTCAATATTTTCATTTTTTTCTTTTAAATTTTCTTAATGTTTTTTATCATTTTTCATTGCTATTCATTTTTCAGTATTTTTATTTTAATTTTTAATTTCTTTATATTTTTTTTTCATCATTTATTTTTTTTCCTACTTCCCCCAAAGTTTCGCGCTAAGAATCTACCAAACCTATCTATCTATCTATCTATCTATCTATCTATCTATCTATCTATCCGTCATTTATTATTAAACTTAATCAGTAATCAATTAATGTCTATTTCTGTTAATCATATATATTTAACATATATATCGTTTTCTCTATTTCTTTCTCTCTCTCTTTCTTTCTCTCTCTCTCTCTGTTTATATATATATATATATATGTAAGAGTAGATAGATTCGCTTATCGCCCGGTTCACACTCATTCCTAGTCTGCTGAACAGGAGTAGAGATTAATCCCTTGTTTCCTGTTAAGGATTGGGTCTCCAATTCCTACTAACGTTTTGCCATTTTCTTTCATTCCCAGCAATCCCTTGCCACTTATTGACATTATCGCCTTGCTTGGGGGGAAATAATTAATATATATATATATATATATATATATATGAAAAAATTCTCAGTGTTAACCTATAGAAAAAGACAATATTTGTAAATGTAAAAGACAATAGGAAATCTGTAATATTAGCCGACTCGTTTAGTCCTATGTAAACTTTTTCAAAGCAAAAACGAAATGAATTTATTGAAACAAAGTCACTAATAATAGCAAAACAAAATGTCCTTAGCAACTGGAAGAATAATAGCATTTTCTATATTCTTCCAGTTGCTAAAGACATTTTGTTTGTTATTATTAGTGACTTTGTTTTCATAAATTCATTTCGCTTTTGCTTTGAAAAAGTCCACATTGGACGAAACGTATTAGCTAATATTACAACTTTCCTGTTGTCTTTTACACACACACACACATATATATATATATATATATAATTTCATATCTGCCCCACTACCTTATCTATCTATCTATGTTCATACGTATTTGCTTCTGTCAATATTTTCCTCATTCTCTTCTTTTTATTTTATTGCTGACAATAATGTACCGTCTACACTGTCCATATCTACAAACGCCCAGTCTTCGAAGTAGAGAAATCTTTTTTATATTCATAAAGATAAGAAAATTCTTCAATTTCGAAGTCGATATAATCTGCACTCTTTCCTGTTTACTGTCAGTTTCACGCCTCAAGTGATTTTCAGACCATTTTCACTACTCTTTAGGACACTGGAACTTGTGAGAAATGTGTGAAGGGGAAAATCAACTCTTCCCAGCTTTGTGCTTACGGCTAATTTTTTATGCTATTTAAATTACACTCCCTTAATTAAAAATATTAATATTAGTCATATATATATTTATTTATTAATCTATTTATTTTATTTAATTTTTTATATTTGCTTCGGTTATAAATTTTGATATTTGAAATATAGTTCATTAGATTTTCAAGTTACGGCATCTGTGTTTGTGGGTAGCATAGTAGGAATTTCTTTTTGTATTTGCATTTAGAAACGAGCTCTGACATTTTTTAGGAGTTACATTGTTTTTGGAAATGTGTCTATATTTCCAGAACAGTCTAAATTCTTAAATAAATGTTGAAAATAATCGACATCCTTGGATACCACAGCAACGCCCTGTGCCTTGATTTATAAACGTTTGTGGTACTTTTCAAAGTACATTTCCATATTCCATGGTTTTTCTGAACTCCCTGCTAAGGTAGTTCTATTTTTTCGATTCCTCACAGTCCTTCACATTCAATATGTGATCCCGCGAGATTTCATTCCTGTCCAAAATATGGATGTTTTTTTTTTGTTTTTTTTTTTCGGTTTCTTCTAATTTGAGTGAAGAAATTTAAAGTATTTTTTTCAAGGACAGTTTCTGGTTTGTACTAAAAAGATTAGATGATTAAGTTTAGCCCATGTTGTTTGCACAGTTCATTGTCTATGACTGTTGCTACACTGTCGTGCTTATTTTTCTAATCATTCTGGGGAAGTTTGCAACTTTCTTTAAATTCGATGGTTTTCCGTTTTATTTCTTTCTCTGATTTGATATAATTTGTCTTCATGCAATTCTGTAGCACATTCCGGTGTGACTTGAACTCGCGTCACGTCGATAATCTTTATGAACGATCTGTTAAACAATTCAGTTTTTAAAAAAGCTTATGGTTAAATAAGCCACAAATATAGTTTTATTGTTTCCCTTCACCTGCTCAGTATATTGTCTTCAGTACGATTTTTGATATGTCTCGAGGCATCTTGTGCTGTAATGGTGTTGTTACTGAGATTGTGCTCAGTGATAAGCGGGAAACTGGGGTGGAAATGTTCTTTGTGCTTCTAACGTCGAGTTCAAGGCAAAGATCGAGGCAAAGAGGGTCACCTTGTCTGTTGGTACATTTATAATTGTGGGCACAGCCGATTTACCTGTTCATAATTTGGTTGGTGATCTTCCAGACTTTGCGAGATCCAATTTATTTCTTTTCAACCTTGTTCTGGACTACTTGTGCAGCTGGTTGGCGTTTTCTAGAACTTTTTGCGGAAAGTTCTGAATGCAGTAAGGGTCAAACTAAATCGCTCCTTTGCGATAGATATTGAAGTAGTGGTTCCTGTGAATTATGGATGCAGCGCATTCAGGAGTGAACCAAGGCTGGCTGACTGAATTTTGCTGAAATTTTTTTTGGTTATATTGTAACCTAAGAAAGGTTAATGAATAGAATAATCACTTGATGGTTGCAAATGAACGAAAATACTTAGGACAAGAACAACACATATAAGATTCGTCAACTGCTAGAAGTGAGTCAAGTGAATTCCACAATGAATCTCCACGCGGTCAGATGCGGCACAAGGCCGAATTTAAAGTGGGGTATCCGAGCCCGTTCGGGGTCGGGTAGCTGTTTCCCGAGATGAGACTCTGCCCATCGACATAGCCTCGTCTGGGGATCTTCTCAGCCCGGAGGCAGTGATTTTGACCAGCACAGATGGAGATGAATCTTTCAACTTCAAGACCCACATACAGTATATTCTACTGTATTTATGGGAATGGGAACATATCCATTATCGTCCGTAGGTATGCTACAACAGGTTAAAAACTCTCCATTCCAGAAAGGAACCATTCAAAGACAAGCATAGCATATTTGGAACAATACATCAGGGGATACCTTAGGTTTGACAGCAAACTGGACACTGATTAGGGAATGGTCTGGGAGAAGTAAAACTTTTACTAAGAATTTATCAGGACAGGAAGTTAGAAAGAAGTCGAGGGCGTTTGCCAGATGTCCTGTCGCGTTCGGGACACGGGTAGGTTCTTCGACGATCTTGGCTAGGGAGAAGTCTCTGTAATATCTGCCTTTGTCATCGGTTTTATTGAAGTGGACAAACCACTATTTGTGGTGGATACTGAAGTCACTGCAGATATTAACGATAGCCGAGGGAAACTGAGTGAGGATATTATCAATCTTCCTATCTTGCGGCCTAACGATTGCGTTGAGACAGTCGACACGCAGTCTCTGACTGTGTGCGACTTCTGTCAAACTCTCTGCTTTGGCAGAGTGGAACCCGGACGAGGCTTTGCCGGAGGGCAAAGTTTCGTCTAGGAAGGTAAAAGATCCCTTCAAAAATGCGGGTTCTAAAGAATTCTTTTGCCGAGCCAACTGTCTCGGAGAAACCCACGTTAAACTCGGCCTTGTGCCACATACATTCCTCGTGGGGGGGGACTGTTAAATATCGTCCTAGATCGAAGATTATTGTCCTTTTGTCTTGAGAGCGATAGAGAGAAAAGACGAATGTGGTACTATGGTAACACATACATGCGGAAACACATAAACGGGAAATCATGGTTCTCGTTTTTTTTGCGCACCTGCCACAAAGAAACTCGTCCTTGATGTAGGCTCCGAGTCCGTGGCCGTGACGATTTAGGTGGTCGTGTTTTTCTATAGGAGGGGAGTAGTCTGGGACTATGAGCTTCTCTAGTGGGCTTGAGGTATTGATAACGGTTTCGGCTGTCGGGTTTGGACTGAAGAAGATATTGTTCCACTTCTTGAAAGTTAGAACGTAAACTCCTCACGTTGGTGTAGGAGATGATATATCTGGGGTCTATTTTTTGAAGTTGGGTTTGTTCGTTTCGTACATTTTAATTTCACGTGTTTATTGGTTGTTTATTGGTTGATGGTAGACCAGTAGGCGGTGATACAGACACTCCCACAAGAGGTACATGTATAAATAACCTGGATAGAATCGTCCGGAAAACTGCCATAGCAGTGCCCTTCATCATGGTATCGACAGGCCCTATCGGAGACTACAACACGGTCAAAATAACGACAAAACCCAGAAAACGCCTATCTCTGTCATCCTTAATGAAGGGACAGTCAACCCAGGAAAGAAGATACATCACAATGTACAAGTCGTGCCTGCCCAGAAATCGAGGGAACAATTTCTCCCTGGGTTAGAAAGATCGAACCGGTTCGACACCTAAATGTTCCAAGACAAGCTCACTCCTGTACGGGCGGAATAAAAGACCCATTGAGGGTAATGTGGGTAACGAAGGCTCCTCGGAGATGCAGATGCATCCACGACTCCAATTTCAATTAGCATGGTAGATGCATGGGTACTTTTTATGGCATAGGCAAGTTATCTATTCAGCTAAAAAAAAAAAGAAAAGAAAAAATCAGCCTTAGAAAGGAGAAGCATTATTGATCGGAGCGAAGACTGTGGCATGGTTTGTGGACTTGGACAGTGCAACAGCTATAAAGGTTAACTTAGCATAAGTCCCAATATGCGATCGCTGAGAATTCTCGCAGAGATTATCATGCAGGAAAAACTTCCATTAAATGTAACGGCATCGAGAATTAACAATAAATTAATGTGCAAAAAATTAATTTTAGACATGACTTTTCATATATATATATATATATATATATATATATATATATATATATATATATACAAACACACAAATATATAGGTATACGTGGTTCTAGGCAAATTTAAAGAAAATTTATCAAGAGAAATTAAGATTGTTATATAATAGAATAGAATAAATTATGTTTATTCTTTTTATCTAATTATTTTTGGTAATAATCTATCTATCTATCTATCTTTCTATCTATCTATCTATCTATTTTTTCTAATTCTTTTATCTCAGTCTGTAATCTATCTATTTCAAAAATTATTTATATTATCTATCTATCTATCAGTCTATCTATCTATCTATGTTCGCATCTATTTTTCGTTTAAACGCTCCTCTCTCTCTATCCAGCTATCTATCTATTGGTTTCCCTCCCTTCTCTCTCTTTATCTAAGTTTTTTTTATTTTATCTATCTATCTATCTATCTATCTATCTATCTATCTATCTATCTATGTTCGCATCTGTCTATCAAGATCGCCTTCTCTCTTTCTATCCAATTAAATTATCCTTAGTTTTTCTCCCTCTCAAAATTTTATCTAAGATTGTTTGTTTTATCTATCTATTATTTATGTATCTATCTATCTATCTATCTATCTATGTTCGCATCTGTGTATCAAGATCTCCCTTCTCTCTCTCTATTTTTAATATTTATCTATTAAAGCATTTCCCTTCTCTCTTTAATCTAAACCGGTTGTTTGGAATATTGGTCAGAACTAATGTTATCTATCTATTTTATCATTGTATTTCTAATGATCATTTATCTATCTATCTATCTATCTATGTTCGCATCTGTCTATCAGTTTCTCTCCCTTCTCTCTCTCTATCCAGCTATCTATCTATTAGTTTTTCTCCCTTCTCTCTGAATCTAAATTTGTTTGTTTTTATCTATCTTTTTATCTATCTATTTTATCTATCTATTGTTGTCTCCTTTTCGTATGTTCTCAGTTTACCTATAAAATAACGCATTAAACTAAACGTAGGATTCAATCTGAAAATTTTAACTTGATAATTTTTTAAATAAATGCGTTTTGTCTTTAATTTATCTTGTATGCAAGATTTTCCTTCTTTAAATTTTCTTTTTAATTCATTTATTTTAGAAAATAAATGATTAGATAAATCTTCGCATTGAATTTCGGATCAAGTGAACGTACTTGATTTTGAGGAGAATTGGAAGAATGAGCGGGGGGGTGCATTTCAACACCCTACCCTTTTTTCAATGTTTTTGTGATTCTTAAAATGGGCTGAAACGCGCCAATGGTTTGTTTAATCATCCGTATGGGTCTGCGTGAATGCCTGTCTCGCAAAAAACCTTTTCTCAAAAGACATTTCCCTTTTTGGCTGGAATAAATATCAAAAGCAATGAATATTTAAAAACCTGGTATAATGGCCTTACCAATTTGTTTTATTACATATATCCTGCACACACACACACACACACACATACACAAACACACATATATAAACACAATATAAACAAAGAACACACACACGTGTGTGTGTGTGTGAAATTTTTTTTGTGCCAAAAATTACAAATGGCAGTATTTTGATGAAAACCTCTCCAATTAGAATGGATTTATCTTGAAATGGAATATATATAACGTATATATAAATAACGAGGTATATAAGCTAAATATATGTTTATAATGGCAACATTAATTATATGTCAGTGTAACACCGTTTTATTTTGAAGAATCATTGTTAATGAGACAAAGTTTATAAATATATATTTATGGGATGGCAATAAATCTAGTTTTTTTTGGTTTAAAGTAATAGTAAAGAATTTGAATTGATTTAATCATTACACACACACACATTTTTACATAAACACACACATTACACACAATATATATATATATATATATATATATATATATATATATATATATATATATAATAATGGACTCTCCTGTCGGTTTCGACGTATGAGGATCTGACAGCTTATTGATTCAGTTATGAAATTTTGTGCGATAATCTTAAGTGGCATTTAAGACCCGCTAGTGATTTACAAAGGAGGCCACATATGGAGCAAGTGTGAGGATTTGTGAGATGAGATCACTGTTAGATTGGCTGACCTTTTTAGATCTTGCTCTCGCTTCTTGAAGATGATTCAGACAAGCAGATTGAAAATTGCTGAGTCCACTAAAACACGTTGATCTCCATTCTACCCGCTCCAAAGGCTAAGCGCTCAAGGGTGTTATGTGGTATATTGACTGCTGACAAGTTGCTTTTCAGCTTGTCTTTGTATCTTAGCCATGGGCGTCCTACATTCCTGTAGCCCTGATCTAACTGGCTGTACATTAGGATCTTGGGTATCCTGTCATCAGACATTCTTAAAACATGACCAGTCCAGCGTAACTGAAACTGTATGATAAAAGTCTCGATTCCTCCAATATTTCACCTGTTAAACAGGTCTACGTTAGATGTCCTATCTTGAAGCTTAACTCCACAGATTTCACGCAGACAGCTTTTATGGAAAACATCTAGCTGGCGTATATAGTACCAGTATGGAGTTCAGGACTCTGAGATATACAAAAGGATGGCAAGTAAAACAGCTCTGTAAACCCGAATTTTCGTATCCAGTCGAATATCCTGTTCATTCCACAAGCGATGGCGAAGTTTGCCGAAAGCACCTGGTATCTGATGCATGATTTCATCATCTAAAGTTCAACTGTAATTGACTATATATATATATATATATATATATATATATATATATATATATATATATATATATATATATATATATATATATATATATATATATATATATATATATATATATATATATATATATTCGTCTGAGGGAAAGCAGTTGTAGGCCAGAAAATAATTAATCACCCACAAGGCTGCGTTGACGCAATTGAACTCTATCACGACAGCCAAGTGATGACTGGGCTGCTCCCAGATATGACAGCGATACTCCATTTGTTTCTGATCTATCTCCTGCAAATCTAGGTTATAGCAAAGGGAGTCAGGTACTTTCTGATGCGGCACGATCAACCAACCAATTTTCCGGCATTTTTAGCAACAGGTCGGGTATATGGGTTTCACTTGAGGTCGGGGGCGGGGGAGAGCTTTAGTCCCCATAGACATTCAGAGGAAGGTATCTTCTTGAGAGAAGACCTATCCATGATGAGAGGTGAAAGTTTGAGGTCTGCTCGGTGGCGGTGGTACGTTACTAGTTTAGTTCTGGCTAGTCCTTACCCCCATAGAGCTCCCTGTGCTGTGTCAGAGGAGAGATGAACTGCTGGGTCCTGGTTTTCCAGATTTTTAGAGGTGCATCTGTCAACTGTTGTATCGTCCGAATAAACACTCACTAATATATATATATATATATTTGCAGATATGTAGAAAAATAGGGAAGAACATGTTTGGTAAATAATCCGGAGTTCTTTAGTATTTTTGTTTTTATTTAAAAAAAAAAAACAGTGCTCCATACAGAAGTAGAGCTTAGATTATAATTATTTTTTTTTTTGAATATGATTCCTTCATATTGTATAAAAGAGTTCTCATGTTTCATCCTTAATTTAAAAAAATCAGGAAACATGTTCTATATGTTCTCTGTAGATTCCTCAAAACGAACTTTGTCAACGTTCCTAAATTTTCGCTTGAGGATTTCACAGGGCTTGTTACTTTAATTCAATTTAATTTTAATAATTATATTGAGGGTTTTGGCTCTCGTTTTTTTGAAACATGAGAACTCTTATGTAGCGATTTGGAAAAAATATTTTAAAAAAAAATTATAATATATATATATAGAAAGAAAGAACAAATAATAAGATGTATAAACCGGTGTTCTTATAGGTAAAAAGTTTATTTTACAAAATAGTGCTCGATGTAAATTTACAGAGCATTAATTTGTTAGAACTGTGTAGCGGAAACCATTGTTTAAATTTTCAAATATAATATTATATATATATATATATATATATATATATATTGTCTTATACCGCGTATAGGTGTGTTCGAGAAGTTTAAAAAATTCGCCTTACATGCAAGATGCACGAAGATGGAAAGCAGGATGCCCGTCAATGTCTCCACTACTGTCGAGATGAAAAAGGGAAAAAAGCCCGAGATATGGTAATAACGAACCAGCGGGTGAGATATCATCGATATTTAGGTAAGAGTGGATTCTCGGCAGATTCTAAAACATTTAACGCGGTAATGCACTGTTATTTATAATAATGCGTTAAAAATGATATTTTTTGAATTTCAGCCCCGATGCGCATTCCGACCAGAGAAATCTGATTACTTTTCTTTGTTCCTCTTGGTGCACACTGATAGCGAAGCGGTCATGTCAACACTGAAGCAGTAGCAAGAAAACTAGTACGATTAAGTGAAAACCGATATCCCGTGACCACAAGGCTCTCAACTACAAGCACGCAGGAGCAAAAGGCAATGTGACAAATCTAAAAATACGTTAAAGCGAAAGGGAGGATAGTTTTTGATTAACCCACGTACATTTTAATATTTAAAAACGTTTATATATCGTGATACTTTATAGTTTTTTTTTAAGGCATGCCTTTGTATTTTATATTAATATATCTGACGTGCATTATCTATCTATCTATCTATCTATCTATCTATCTATCTATCTATTTATCATATATATATGTATACACACACACACACACACAAACAAACACACACATTAACAAACACACACACACACATATATATATATATAATTATTTATTTAAAATATGATTCCAACTTTGACATAAGAGGTCTCATGTTTCAAAAAAAGAGCCGAAAAATTTTAATATAATTATTTGAATTAAATTGAATTAAGTTAAATTTTAATTTACGTGTTTTAATAATTGAAATCTTTGGATCTACATAACCAAATCTTTCCAAAATTTTCTAAATTTTTCAGGAAATAAATATATATATATATATATATATATATATATATATATATATATATATATATATATATATAGATATATATAGATATATATATAAAGTTCTGAAAATCAAATTACACAGAAAATTGAACGCACGAATGCAGACGTTTCAGCCGTTATACGCTCCGGCCTTCTTCAGGTGATTGGAATTTCGAACTAAACCCTTTATTTTTTTCCTTAAGGACACATGGCCCAGTGGATAAAAGCGTTTTTCGTTGGATGTAGTGAGTTGTGAGTCCAATTGTTGGCTATTGCAGTGGTGAACTAAAACTTGGTGGGCTGAGCTGAGTTAAAGGGAGATAACTGAGACATGGCACGTGGAACAAAAATCTACCCCGGGAGATAACTGAGACATGGCACGTGGAACGAAAATGTACCCCGGGAGATAACTGAGACATGGCACATGGAACGAAAAAAATCCCGGGATAACTGAACATGGCATTTAACGAAAAAATAAAAATTTAGATAATATGAGACATGGCACATGGAACGAAAATCTAAATAGGTGGATGAAATAAAAGGCTCTGTTCGAAATTCCAGTTACCTCAAGGAAGCCGAAGCGTAAAACGGCCGAAACGTCGTGAATACGGCAATAAAGATGAGAA